ATTGAAATCCCTTAATTGGTTTGGCAATTATTTCTCTGGGTTAGGATTTTTAGTCTATTGATTTTATGTAATTATACCACTCTAATAAGGAACCAATATCCTAATTAGGTTAGAAGTTTGATTCCAAATTAGATAATTTTTTGTTTCATGCTTTTCTATTTAAGGACTTTTATGTATTCATTGTAATGCAGTTGTTTGATGAATATTGATTAAATTATTTAATATTAGTACTCAAATAAGTGTCGAATCACTTATTTATGAGCGAGTAATGCTTTTTTTTTTTTATCCTGTGTTACTCTTGTCAGAAAATTGGGTGTTGGAAGATAAATTGACAAAGTTTTGAAGGGTTCATTACACTTCCTCGACGGCTGACTGGTTGCATACTTGAAGTGGGGTTTTGATGAAGGTTACATTCATGTGCACCTCCTCCTGCATATTTGCCTATTATAGTATGTCTTAGGGGGCGTCGCCAAATTGATTTATTTTGCTTTGTCACGTCTTGTCATTCATACGCAAGCATCTTGATGAAATGGCTTGACATATCAAATACCTCAGTTATTAGGAAATAATCTTGATATGTAGTGTCGGGTCTTCTCTATGCCTTAGCCTAGGGCTTGGGTTGGTTTGGTATTATTTTGTACTTTAAATATATTTCATAATTGCTCTATATATTTCAAAATCAGAATTTTAATAATTGATAACCCAAAGTGATTTATTGTTGTGTTGTATACAGTTACTAGAATGAATAATGTTTAAATTGATGTCTTTTTATTTTAATAGTCATAGTTGAACGTGCGCATTGCACGTTGTTTTAAAATGCTTTATAAGTGTTATAAAAATATATTGTAAGATATGAGGATATAAAAAAAAATTAATACAAAATGTTTATGTGGAATGAACTTTTGATTCAAATAAAATAAAAATCATTTTGTGAAAACAATTTAAATAGTTGATGAAGTCAATTAGAATAACCCATTCATTTACCATTTTGACCTAAATTGAACATCCAATGAATACCATCATTTATTAATATTTTCGTAATATGCATTGAATATATCAGTGGAAATGATTTAATGTAGATATGCATTATGTTCCCTCCTCCTCCCATATACATTCTCTGTAAATAATTGACTAAATAATTCATGATAATATTGTTCAAATGATAAATATATCAATTACATATTGAAAAACAAAAATGTAATGAATTTCTCAAATATGGTTAAATAAATTAAATACGCATTGAGAAATGAAAAGTAAGGTAATGGATGTGTCAAATATACATTAATCATAACTAAATAGTTGACAAAATAATTAATGATAATATTTTTCAGTGATTCAAATAATTAATAAATTGAATACATATTAAAAAAATGAAAAGTAGAGTATTATTGAATAGTTAATTATATATTGAAAGTAACGTATAAAATAATGGATATAATTGTCCAAAAAATGATTGTCACTTGATTTGATATTTAATATATTATAGATTATTATAATCGTTAATAGTATGGTATAATCTACTTTTGCTTTTATTATGAGACAATACATGAGGGTGTTAGGGACTTATTTTCATGTAAAAATGTATTTTAAAATAGTAAAATGATGGGAAATGTGTGGTTGAAAAATGAGAAAAAGTTTTTT